TGTCAGAATTGGATTGGAGAACACTCAGCTGGTGTCTGCTGCTTGGCGTGTGTGTGTGTGTGCGTGTGTGTGTGTGTGTGTGTGTGTGTGTGGTGTGTGACATTTGGTGTCAGGAGTGATCTGTGTTGTAAGAATTTAGGACAAACTGAGTTTGGTTTCTCCTACATCATCCTACTGTTCTTAGAGTATATGAGAGAGGACAAAAAGGGGAAAAAAGTAGTTTGCTTTTCTTCTGTTTTCTGATGGCTGGCTAGTTACAGGGATCCAAACCCTTGACCTTGGTGTTACCAACACCATGCTCTCACCAACTGAGCTAACCTGCTAGCCTGGAAAAAAGTAGTTTGAACAAAACTACTTAAATAATTTTCTTTTAATTTTTTTCTGCTGGCCTTGATTAGCTCAAGAAAATCATCGTGCAGTTCGCAAACGTGAAAGCTGGCTATTTTTGATAGAAACCAGAATTCCACATTGAAGTGCCTTTGAGTGTATGAGAGGGAGAGTGATTGATTTCCATTCACGAGCAGCAAGCCCAGAGGAAAGCGTAAGATATATCCCCCTTTAACAAGTGCACTTGGGTGTTAGAAGACGTGGATTTTCTATTTGATCAAAGATGGCAGGTGTGTTTTGTTTCCTGGACGGACAAAGGCAGAAATTTCTGCATGAAAATAGAATCACATTCCTGAAAAGCTCAGGATCTTCCAGGGGCCCAGCTGCTGTAGGGACCAGTGCTACAACTCATAAAAAGGGGATCTTGGGTAGAGTTGTTGCAAGGCCTGCTCCCCTTCCCCCTCAAACACACTGGGAGGGAGCTCCTTTGTCTTTCCCAGTATCTGCTGGGAGAGGAGCTAAGAAAATGCGAGACACTTGAAGTGAACAGGCATAGCGAGTACTCTGTTTCTTTGAAGTGTAAGCAAACATCCGCAGGCTAATAGAAGGTAGATGTCTGATGCTGAAGACTGCCCATTTCTAGGAATTGCCCAGGCACTTCCCGAATGGCCGAGCCAGGCTCTTTGCTCTCACAGTCATGGCTGATAGCAGCTGGTGGTCCAAACAGATGCTCCCATCAGAGCTGCTCTCCTGCCCCCCTTCTCTCCTAAAGTTTCCTCCAGTATTTCCCTTGGTTCTCCTAGGGGGAGGGGTGCGGATGGGGGTGAGGTAGGGTGGGTGGGAGAGGGCCTGCTCAGCACCTCCTTTTGCTGCTGGAGGAGGTTCTTGCCCCCTGGCTCCTCTTTGGTCCTCCCAGCCCTTTCTTGACTGGGCTGGGATTGGGGACCAGAGTTGAAGGGGGACTGAAAGCCAGGCTGTTACCTTTGGAGTTGATTTTGCAGGATGGGCGATGTGGGCAGCCTGGAAGGTTCTCAGTGGAGATCTCTATGTAGCAAGGTCACTTGGGTGGCTGGCTCAAAGGCAGATTGGGCAGGAGACAGAAAAGCTGGGGGCAGGGGGGTGGGTTGTAGACGTTCATGTCATGGCCCATTGGGCATGTGTTGTGGAGCGGAGGCGAGTCAGGGCAATCCTCAGGATTGTAATTTGATTTAGCATGCTATATTCAGGAACCCCGCCTTACAATGCTCTGGGCTGTTTTCAGGCAGTCTCCTTTACTGGAGGCAGTAAAGCCAAGGCTGGTGGGCTGAGCGCCACTGTGCAGGTCCTCAGAGGTCCAGTAGCTGGTTTCCATCTTAACCAATACGACTTCCCTACTAGCAACGTGACAATAACCATTTGAAGAGGGGGTGGGCTCCCACCTCATCTGCTGTACCTGTCATCTCAGACAAGCCAACTCTGGTGAAGGATGACTTGCTCAGACGGTTTCAAATGTTCAAAACTCTTACTGGCTCTGGAAGAGTCCTTGTGCCTAGCTTTGTACTAGGAACTTTGAGGCAATTACCTCAAATGTAGAACATGCTATTGGTGGGAAAGGGAAGATGTTTTCTAAAAAATCATTTCTTTCTATTTCTGTTTCTCCTTTCCCTTTGTTCTGTAAAATCAGTGAACACAGAAAAGTGGGTAGAGTTGATGGCTTGCTCTGACCCAGGCCTCCTGACCAGGTGTAGGTCTTTTGCAGGAAGGCTTTGGTGGAAATCTTCTTCCCAAACCCCACTTTCCTCTGTAAGGCTGCTTTGCAGTCTTAGACCTGTGTTGCTATGGGTAATGCGCTAACATTTGAATAACCAAAGGGGCTGGCAAGCAGTTAGTAAAATGGAAAATGTGTGTGCAATCTTTAGGTTGTCTAAAAGCTCTTTCCTTAGTTGTCTTGGTAAAATTATTTTCCTGGGTTGTCTTGGTAAAGTCGTTTATTCATAACAAAGACAGAACATGTTGGGAGGAGAAAAGGAACAGAGGAGAGATGTCTTAATGAATGAATTGATAGAAGAAATTGCATAACTTACAAATATATGTAGCACTCCTGCCATCCTCTCTGTATGTGTTCAGACATGTATTTAGGAATCCACTCCCCTAAAGAAGACTGTAGTATAAAACATAATCTTGTAGTGAATATTGTTAGCTAAGTAAGTTTTGAGCACTTACTATGTGCCAGGCAGATTGCAGTCATGCCATGCTTAGTGAGGGCCTGTTCCTCCTTCGGTGATTTCGATGTTCTGGGACCGTCATAGAGTGCACTTAGACAAACCTATATGGTGTAGCCTACGACGCACAAGGCTATGTGGTACAGCTTAGTGCTGCTAGGCTACACGCCTGTACCGCATGTGACTGTACTGAACACTGCAGGCAGTTGTAACACAATGGTAGGTATTCATGTGTCTAAACGTAGAAGAGGTACAGTAAAAATGTGGTATAAAAGACAAAAATGGTACATCTGTATAGTGCACTTACCATGAATGGAGCCTGCAGGACTGCAAGTTGCCCTGGGTGAGTCAGTGAGTGAGTGTGAAGGCCTCGTTCATTACTGCACACTACCATAGACTTTATAAATGCTGTACACTTGGGCTACAGTAAATGTATTAGAAATAATAAATAAAGTAATTGTGCCATGATGGCTTCATTGTAATCTTATGGGACCATCATTGTATATGAGGTCAGTCATTGACCAAAGCGTTGTTAGGTGGCCGTGACTGTACATGAGTAGGCTGAGATCCAAGTGCTTCACAGGTTACTGCATTCATCCTCACTGTGGGATGGGTGCTGCAGTTACTCCAGTGTGACTGAGAGATGAGGAAATGTGCCCAGCGCCACTTAAATGGTAGGAGGCAACAGAGCTGGGTGTGAGCTTAGAGAGTGGGCTCCAGAGCCAGTGCCCCTTGCCTCGGTGAAGCAACAAGAGACATATTTACGTATTTATTCTGGTGAATTTGTAATGTGTACTCTTGAACCTGTATTTGGAATGACTAATGGCTAATAAGTCTAACGAATAACATGAATATGAATGACTATAGTAATAATGAATAATGAATACTAAGGAACGCTACTGACTAATGAACAGTAAGATTTTCCACTTTTCTGAGGGTCTCTTGAGGGTGTGGTGAGCTGTGTCCCCAATGCAGCATTCTCTGTGGATGCCTGAACTCTCAGGCTCCAATCGGTATATCTGGGAAGGGGTCCTGGCATCTATACCTTTCCTAAGCTTCGCAGGAGGTGCTGGTGAGCCACTGACCATGTTTGGGCATTAAGGAGCCTCTTGCTCACATGGTGACATTGCTGGAGGTGCTCCCCTGCTGGCTCCTTTCTCAGCCCACTAGGCAGGCAATGAGGTGTGGGTTGAAGACCTGGGCTTTGGCACCAGACAGTCCTGGGTTGGAGGCCTGGCTTTTTTTCTAGTTAGCCCTGGGATCTGTGGGCAGTCGCTCACCTTCTTATAGCTACTGTTCGTGCATCTAGACAGTGAAGAAAAGAGCAGGTCCCGGCTTAGAGGGCTGCCCTGAGGATCAGCAGATCTCACATGTAAAACGTAGCCTGGCACATGGTCACCACTTGATAAATATCGGCCAGCGTTGCTATAAACGCTGTATAGAGAGAGACCAAATGGCTGAGGGGCTTTTTGAAGGTGGACTGACCTGACCACTTCATTCTTTTCTTGTTTCTTCCCCTCCCCACTCCACGCCCCTCAGGACGGTTCGCTGGGAAACATCGATGACCTGGCACAGCAGTATGCAGATTATTACAATACCTGCTTCTCTGATGTGTGCGAGAGGATGGAAGAGCTGCGGAAACGGCGGGTTTCCCAGGACCTGGATGTGGTGAGTGGGTGGCACTGGGAATGCGCTTCTGCCAAACAGGGCTCCTCCTCCGTCCTCATTACAGTCCTAGCTCTGCCTGGAGCACCCATCTGCAGGCTGCTGCACTAGTGGGGGGTACCAACTCCAGATCCCTAAAGGACCAACCCACTCCTTCTGCAGGTATGAAAACAGGCGCTATGATCAAATCTTTGCATTCATCGAAAGACGAGATATTTATTTTTATTTTTTTTTAACTTAAGGGTAAATGTTGTCTTTACTATTGACCAGTGTACAGTACATTTTTATTGACTCTAAGCCCAAAGGGTGTCTAGACTGGTTCTCTCCATCTTTCCCTTTGCTTTTTCTTTTCTTCCCTTCCTTTTTCTTTTTGAAAACCACAGTAAAATTAAAAGAAGCAAGAAATCACCCATAATCTCTCACCTAGCAATAACCATGTTGACCTTCTTTTATGTTTTAGCGCTAGCAGGCCCCCTTTCAGTGTTTGTCGGGGTATTTTAAAATCAGCAATGCAATCCTGTATAGATATAAAAAAATCACTTCTTGCTTTTTTACTTAACATTTTATTATAGTTCTTCCATGTCATTGAGACCTTTGTCATGACCATCTTTCATGGCTATAGTCTCCTCTGTCACTCAGGTATATCGGAATTCGTTTGGCTGTTTTATAAAGACCTCAGCAGCTGTGCTGACCTCAGGACCTCCTCAGGAAGGGGTGGGAGGCAGAAGAAAAGGCTCGATTTTCCATGTCACCTCTGCTCATCCAGACCAACTCATTTTGGACCATCTCATGTACTGGCGGGCTGCATGGATCTGTTTTGAATAACAGAGTTTCTCTGCCTTTCAGCAAAGTTTGAAAGCTGCTGATTCAATTGAGTCCTTGTTTATTTATTTATTCATTTTCTTCCATAAATCTACTTGAGGCAGGATCAAGAAAACAGTAACTAAGTAACTAATTGAGCACTAATTATGAAAATGTAATTATTTTATTAATAATCCCTTTATGTTATATAATAAGGCTCCTATTTTATAAGGGACCCAACAAGTAGTTGGGTACCACTCTCATGTATTCTATAGGTGGACACGATGTTTCCCCCTTTAGACTATGGTATTCTTATAATTTTTTCCCTTAACCTAAATAAAGATTTCTTGGGTCAGGAGTAACATTATATCATGACTGCCAAATATTAATTAATTCTCCTTCCTTTTTATTTACCAATTTAGTAGCTGGGAGGGCGCGGGGAATGGGAGTTCGTCAAATAGAGTTGATAAGGCTGAGTAGTGCCTATTGGGGGCAGAAATGTGGACGTCATCATTATCAAGGGCTTCTTTCCTATAACTTTGTTCCCTGGCATGTGTGAATGGCAGGGTTATTTTCTTCTTTTTAAGAAAGTAACTCCGTGTGTCAAAAAGACTCCCATCTGCCATAAAAATTAATTAGGCTCTGCTGTTGGAGCATAGTTAATGAAAAAATACTTACATTTTGGCAAGATGACCACAGAACAACCATTTAAATATTGCACTGAATTCCTGAATGTTGCTATTTTGACCTTGGAATGATAGTCTGCTGGCATTCTATGTGGCCTCCTTGGACGTTTCACTGTGCAAGGAACTGATTGATGTGAATTGGTAGATGGTCATTGATACAACACTAAACTGTTCTTGTCAGAATTCTAGCTGGTTAACAGCTGGAGTTACCATAATCATCCCATGGTGTCTGGGAACATCAGAAGGGTTGCTTCTAGGTAGGAAAGGAATCCTTCCTGTCAGTGGGATAAATAACCTCCTTCCCATTTAGACAGATGGGTCTAATTTGGTGTGCTCTGTTCCAGAGCTTCAAAAGACAGTCTGGGGAAAAAAACACCACATGAGCTTAATTAGTTCCCATCAAAGGTGCAAGAATTTGGTGGTGGGTAAAACTGATGGGAGCTAATTCAAGCCAGGCTGGAAGTGTGACTGTTCATTCTTTAAATTGTAGTTAGTGAGAAAAGTAAGACCCTAAATTGGCATATTCAAATTCCCCTGCTATAAAATTCCAGACATGTTGCAGCAGTAAAGGGGAATTCTCAAACTGCTGAAGCTCAGGTTAGATGACATGTTCCACATGTCATTCATGTGGCTCAGAAGTCTAGATAGCCACAGTGGATGTGTTTTAAGGTTATCCATCATTTAGGCCATGGGTGCAAGACCTACTGAAAATTTTCTTATACGGTGGTTACCTCATCACCGGTTCCACTCCTGATGGGAACTCATTTTCTTGAAAAGCTATAACTTTCAGTCCATAATGTTCCCTTTTATTGCATCTGAATTTTGCAAATATTTCTAGGCTTTCAATTCTGCCTTACAGACAAGCAGACGAACTGTCTCCTTGTTTGGCTGCTTGGCTGGAACAGCTTTGGGTCTGAGGACCTGCAGCTAAATAAAAATTGGCTTTAAAAAGTCAAAAAATGCATTGTCCTTAAGAGCTAATTACATGTTAACTAGAGAATAAACAAATCAAACAGATACCCTGCCCACAGAGGTGCTTGACTTAACCCTGAAAAATAAAAGGTTTTGTTAATTATATTAGTTCAGTAATTAACTTTCTGGACTGGATGTCAAGGTCTTTCTCTAGGACATAATTACCAGGATCCTGACTGGAAAGCATTTGATAAACTGTCTTTGGGGCCAGTTAGTTTTGGTGAAAGCAACAGAGTACAGATGGGTAAAAATTCAACAGTATAAAAAGGGGTTATGATTCAAATTTATAACTGTGGTGAGTTTTTATTTAGCACAAAATGAGCCCTAAAGAACGGTGTGTTTAGACCTCAGCCTTTGCCTCTGCTGGGGATTAGGACTTCAGTGCTGTGAACAGCAGGGAAGTTGCCCATATTTACCCCACACTTGGCACATCCCTGAGCACCATGTGATTTTTTGGCTGGGAGAAGCTGCAGTCAGAAATGACAGCAGCTTTCCAAGTCCATAATGGGCCTATCTCTAGTGATGCTAAGTCTGACATCTGTCAAAGTGACACTGTGGCCAGGAAAGGAACGTGCTCAAGATGGCCTCTTATTACTGGCAGTGTCAACTTCCTCGGCATCTTTGAGGTTGAATCTGTTTGGGTGCTGGCAGAAAACAAGTTTGTGCGGTTGTTGGTGCTGCAGAGAGCTGACAGAGAAGCCCTCGCCTCCAGCCACACACTGCTGAAGGTGACGTACATGTCAGCAGCCAAAGTATGGCCTGGACTTTGACAAATTCTCACTATGACTGTGTGTGTAGAAGGAAAAAGGAGCCCAGGCAGAGACCCACCAAGGCCTTTAAGATATAAATTAAAATATTGCATATTATAAAGTGAAATGAACCATTATTGATGGTGTAAGAATGATTCTGGGGTATAATGATTGTTTCTTGCACTTTTAATAACTTTCTAGATACAGATCTAGACTAAGACAATGGCAGTAAGAATAGTGTTCATCACGACCATTGGTAATTCTTAGAGCTTCCTTAGACTGTACCACGCCCGCTCCAAGCCCAAGCAGAAGTCCTGGCCCCTGGGCTTTCTACAGTGGGAAAAGGGTACAAGAAACACTAGTGGAAATAGGCTGTGGAGTTGGACAGACTGGGGTTCAAATTCTGGCTCTTTTACTTACCTGGCAAGTTGCATTAACTTTTCCAAGCCTCAGTTTTCCCATCTATAAGATGGGGCTAAAAATATCTCATAAAGTTATCATAAAGGTTAAGTGAAAAAAAACTGCTGTCATCATAAGTGACCTGTAACTGTTCATTTAGTTCCCTTCCTTTCTCTTTCTGGTTCAAAAGTTTGTGTAGTAGTGCTGAAGAGTATACATTATTTGTTCTTCATTAATATTTAGTCACATGAGTGCAAGGATTTTTTTTTTTTTTTTAGCTTTTTATTTGGGGAAATTTCAAACATATAGAAAGAGCATAATATAATGAACTTCTCATGCCTATTAGATTTGGGGTTAAAATTTACATTGAAATACACAAATTTTAGCCGTACAATTTTGTCAAATGGCTATAGCCATGTCACTCACCACCCCAGCATGATATAGAACACATCCATTGTCCTGCAGAGTCCCCTCATGTCCCTTCTAGTAAGTCCTGGTTTGAAGGCAGGGATTTTTGTGGGTCTAGTTTGGTCACGTCTATACCCCAACGTAGAGAACAGAGCATGGCACATAATTAGTGCTCAGTGAGTATTTGTTGAATTGATTTATGCAATTATTTAAAAATATCTAATGAGCATCCAGCCTGTATTTGGGATTTTTGTTCCAGAAATACAGATGAAAGATGTATTCCCTACTCACAAAGAGGTCACAATTTAGCAGGGGCATGAGACAACTAAAATGCTGAGACCATTCAAATGCTGTGCAGGAATTCAGAAGAGGTCTCCCCACCCCCCGACCCAGTTTAGAAAAATCA